GCCTTCCTTTTAGGGCCGCCGAGATTGGGCAGGAGGCCACCTAGCATATTGGCCACCCTGCCCAACTTGGGGGCCAGAAGCTCAAAATGCTTCTGGAACCCCCATTTACCATCCAAGACGAGTCCCAGATATTTAACTGAGGGACCCGTCTTCACGGAGACACCGTCGATCCGGACTCGGGCCTCCGGTGGTCCCCTCCTCCTGTCGTGAAAGAACATAAGTTCTGTCTTGAGGGGAGCCACCTTGAGGCCCATCCTTTTCAGGGAGCCTACCACCTGGTCTACCGCCCGTCGTCCCTTTTCCAGGGCGCTCCTCCAGCCCCCGCCCCCGGCCAGCACCATCGTGTCGTCTGCGTAGCAGACGACACTGCAGCCGGGGGAAGAGCAAGACGGAGGACTTGGTCATACGCGATGTTCCATAATAGGGGTCCTAGTACGGACCCCTGGGGAACACCGCGGTATACCACCCTTCATTCAAGGTGACCTTGACCTAACCTTGACGATGCCACCCAAGGTCAAACTCATAAGGCCAGTAAATAGATCTTTTTACATCCTACAACTTTTGTTTGAAAGAATTTTTTATAAAACTTATATTTTTTAGATATTTCGAGGTCCCGACCTTTTTGGGACACTTCGTATGCCGTAGCGATGAAACGACCCATTTCCGATCCCAAGTCTATTTGCAAAAAATTCTTAGGGTGTCCCCAACAGTCTCTCAAAGTTTGTCGGTTGTATTTGGGAACACCCTGTATATACTAGGTGTGTGTGTGTGCGTGCGTGTGTGTGTGTGTGCGTGCGTGCGTGCGTGCGCGCGCGCGCGTGTGTGTGTGTGTGTGTGTGCGTGCGCGTGTGTGTGTAAGCAAGATCGGAAAAATGTGACATTCCGTCCCATATCCTGGGTCAATTATCACATGTCTATATGGAGAAAACACGACAAATAATTCTTGTTGTAACAGTGTTTGTAATGTTATAGTAAAATTAATTACATATAACTATATATCGATATATAATCATGTATATTTGTTCATTAAAAACTGTATTTATATATATACACATACATATACAGTTATATCAACAGAAACTATACAAATTCAGACCTATTGAAAACCAACATAAATATAACCTCTTATTCTAATCGGATTAACTATAACAACATGCGGCGATCGGATGCACGTGTTTTCACGCATGTGTAAGGTCTGACAACGTGTGACAATCAAACCCA